GAAGATCGTTTTGGTCCGAACATTTACAACTTGAAAACCATTAGGAATGAGGTTACGTTCCCCGTTTCGGCGACGCTCATTTATTTCCGTTTCTGCAGCTTGTCTCTTAATGCGATCAGCTAGGCTGAGATCCTCAAGGACATATATTCCGGATCCAATCAGTTTACGTGAATTACTTAGAATCAGGTTCCTTTCTTCCACCGTGTTGAATGTAACCTTCAGGAGGCGGTTTTTCGGAGGACTTACAGAATCCATCTTTCGTCGTATTCTATAAAGCTTACAAATACTGACTCCTGAAACTGTATCTAGGAGTAGTTTACTTAATGATATCCTAATATGATTGAGATCGCCTTCAAATCTCGCCTTTGGTTCTTTATCTGAAGATTCTCTTATCTTATGAAAAATGACTGATCTCTCAGAGAGATCTGTCTTGTCACGCAGTGAGGATTTTTCTTCTGATAACATCCCTTCCAAAGCCTTACTGACCAGCTGCGTTTTGCCCACAGCCTTTTTCTTCCCATTTCTTTTCCTCCTTACTGAAGTTCATTTGCCACCACTCAGGACAGCCACACCTGGACTATGTGGAACGGTGACAGTTTTATCCGGATCTCCTATTTCTACTAGAGGTATATGACTGCCGATGTCAATATCATTCCTCGTTAATGTCAACGGAGAATTCACGTTCCCGTCAACCACAGTCAGATGTTTAACGTTTCCAGTAGCAGCAATTACTACACTGACACATTCTTCACCATCAGTGCTCTTGTTACCAGTGCTTCCGCCATCAGTTTTCTTGCAGGCCAAAGCCCATAGGCCCATAGCCTCCTGAATTAGTACCTTTTTATCCGTACAGCAGAACATACAAAGCCAATGCGAGTTAGGCTTTGAGCATCTTTTGTAGGCCGTCGGACTTAGGCGTGTACACATTTTGTGGTACCATTTTTTACAATCGTCACACTGCATTCCCTCCTCAACGGGGAACAAACAATTTGGTTGCACATATTTGTGGGTCTTACCAACCATTGTAATTTGATTCAAAGGGTTTAAGAACACAAACTGATCACAATGTGAACACAAGTGTTAGTCAACGAGTAAACAAAGGTACCCAGGATAGAATTTAGCAAAAATTTCAAACTTTAGCCAAAGTACTTTTAGTTAAAGTAGACCAAGAATGCTTTTTGGTGCAATAAGTACCCAA